GTAAGAAAGTTGTTGATACAGATATTTAATAATAGAATCTCCAAAAATGGCAATGTAATGTGAAAGAAGAGGTAACTTACCATTGGTAAAATCGGGTCCGTGGTCCATGAGTGGAATATCAATTTTGATGAAAGAGTTAACACAAAGGATCACATATAAAATGTAATAGACTTAAAATAAGACCCAAAAACTCAAGCGCTTTCGAATAGTTGACCATTCTTCTTCAGGAAAACAAAGAAGAAGAATAGTCAACTATTCGAAAGTGCTTGAGTTTTGGGTCTTACTTTAAGTCTAATAGGTTCAATCATTCATTCTCAGCTTTATAATAATAAGAATATTTGTGTTACTGATTTTTAAATAAAATTATTCTTTGTAGTACCATTCTTCTATTTTGATTTTTAACTTATTTTATTTTTAAGTTTCGAAAGATGAATGAGTTATTAGTGAAAAATTCATTGCAACAACTAACATTTTCAATGTCGCTGTTCATCACTTCTAGACAAAACACATTTATTAATTCACGAGGATTGTTTTTGTTTTACTTTTACACTTAAATATATAGCTTAATGTATAAGTTCTGATTTTTAAAAAGTTTCCAAAGATGAGTGGGACATCAGCGGAGAATTCATATCGTCAACCAACATTCTCGGTCTGGTGGTGTTTTCATTGGTTTTGGGTGTCACTCTTGCCAATATGGAAGATAAAGGAAAACCCTTGTTGGACATGATTACCAGCATTAGTGAAGCTATGATGCTTATTACCGCTAAGGTTGTTTGGTGAGTCTTCAGTAACTAATATTTTAGTGAGAAATCATAACGTATTATATATAATTATTATCAGCCGTATAAAAAGGGAAGAGGCAAACGTTCCTCAACAAAAACATTTGCCCACAGTTTCCCCACCCCTCTCCAAGTAAGAGCTAATTGGAAGGAACATTTTTGCACAAGAATCTCAAAATTAATCTGTTTTTACCAATCGTTAATGATAAAGAGTGTTATTGCTCCCTGAAGAAACACCTCTATCTGAACTTCAGAGGATTTGTAATTACCAATTTTGTGAATTCTACATTTTTAAGAGTCACAACCGTTAAAAAGTCAGTATCTTCAACTATGTATGAAGTATTATATAAAAAAAATAAGTCTTATTAACCAGTTTATGGTTCTTGACTTTATTTTGGACTTTAATTGGTGCTTCAAGGTGACTATTCACGGTATTTATATATTATTTTTTCTGTTGACGAGAAAAAGTATTTAATTTAGAACTTAAAGAAACGATTCTCCTATAGAGGCTCGCCTAAAAAAGTTTTCCGTGGATTTTATTATTTTCAAATGAGCAGTTTTTGTTTTGGTGGTTTGGGACATTCACCTTCTTAACATTTCCTCATCTTTAAAGGTGAAGTTTCTCTTACTACACACAGTTAAGAAATTATGGTGTTTTTAATATAGCCTAACAAACTTACTCGAGATAAAATATTTTCAACAATGTTGAGTATCAACGAAAATTCTACTTAATTCACATGGTAAGGTTTTAATCTTGTCATTGTTTTCATTTATTTTTTTACTTTTCATTAATGCCTATAAAGACGTCATTTGTGAGGTTAAAACCTCTTAATAATGAATTGCACCTGTGTATTGGTAAACACAATATCCATTCTCACTTATATAAAGTCATCAATTTCTATTATTTACAAATATAATAATATTGAAAATATTTATGATTAAGGGTAAATAATATTAGTACAAGAGCCATCCTCATAATTTACTTAGCCTTAATTTGTGTACTTTCTTTTAGGTTTACTCCTATAGGTGTACTATTTCTAATAATTTACTTAGTCTTAATTTGTGTACTTTCTTTTAGGTTTACTCCTATAGGTGTACTATTTCTAATTGTTGCCAAACTAATTGAAATGGAAGATTTGTCAGTTGTAGCTGGTCAGCTCGGTTTGTTTACTGTCACTATATTGGCAGGATTCTTTATCCACGGCGTCATAATCTTGCCAGCAATCTATTCTGTAATCACGAAGACATGGCCTTTTAGCTTCATTTATAACATGAGTCAAGCTTTAATGACGGCCTTTGGAACAGCTTCAAGGTGAGAATTGACGTTGATTTGAAGATTACTTTATCACTTGATACATCTGAACCCTATGATACTTAATGTTACCATAAACCATCTCTTTGAGAGAATTTACTGAATTAAAGTTATTTTAAAAGGAAACGAGTAATGTGTCTCTGGAACGAAAGTAATAAATTTCTAACTGAATATATTGGATCATGTCATCGAAAAATGAAGTAAATACTATTGTTGTAAAAATATTTCTGGATTATAAACAATACAATTTCCAGCTAAATTTATCGAAGAGGTGTGATTCAGAAATCGAATAAAGATTAATGTTTCTAAGTGAATTTATTGAAATAATGTTTTGAAACATAAATTGTAATATTTTAGTTATTAATTACGTTTCATTCACATTGGATTAAATATGAGTTCCTCTAAGGAAATGTATTGTAAGAATTTATTTTGAATATAAGTGTTGTTGTTTCTGAACTGAATCTATCGGGTAAGTGTCTAGTAACAGTGAAGTAAATTATCAATAAATTCTGATAATAGCAAGCTAATTACATAGATCAGAATTTAAAGTTATCTTAGTGAATAAGAAAGTTAATTTTACACACCTGTCTAACTAGGAGTAAGTAGTGTCATAAAATTAAAACCTATAATAATTAGAATGCATTGATTGATATTCGAGAACGCGTCGTTGTTATCGGTATTTTCGGCGAAAGATTCTACATTCATACATTCTTTGGGACACTTTCTGGTATAAAGTATTATATATGTCAGTAATAATGTACAGATAATACAGTAGATTGATATTTATTTTCAAAAACAACTCCTCTTTAATTTCAGCTCAGCAACGCTGCCAGTAACTATATCGTGTTTAGAACAAAAGAACAAGGTAGATCCCAGAGTGTCAAGGTTTTGTCTACCTATCGGAGCTACTGTTAACATGGATGGAACAGCTTTGTACGAAGCTGTAGCAGCTATTTTTGTGGCCCAGCTTCGAAATGTTCCCCTTACGGCTGGGAACATTATTGCTATTAGGTGAGTACTAACCTAGCCCTCAAAGAAAAGTGACATAAAATATCGTATAAATTCACAATCGTGTTTATTTTTCCGTTCATCTTTTGACTAACTACAGTGAGTAAATACTTCTTTCAAATTTACAAAATTATATACAACCATGTATAGAAACCATCACCCCCGTCTAGTTATAATGAAATTTATAAATGGAGAATAACTTTTAGAAATTTGACATTCTTTCAATATTTTAGCATTACTTCTACGGCAGCCAGTATTGGAGCCGCTGGTATTCCTCAAGCTGCTCTTGTTACCGTGGTGTTAGTGCTAAATGTCGTTGGCCTGCCACCAGAGGACGCCACTCTAGTTTTTGTGGTGGATTGGTTTATGTAAGTAAATGTTTACCATAATCGTATATAGAAAAAAAACAACTTAATACTTTATTTTCTAATACCTCTTAAATGTTCGTATAAAAATGTAGTCTAATTAAAAAAAAATTAAAAGCATAACAATTTTAACTTCTTCCTTGGATATTGTTACAGAGATCGTTTTCGAACAGCAGTGAATGTTTTAGGCGATGCTCTTGGAGCTGGAATAGTGGCACATCTCAGTTCGAAAGAGCTGCAAGTATTAGACCTAGAAGCGGGCCAGAATTAGGTTTGTAGACACTAAGATCCATTTTTGAAGACTTATTGTTAATTATTTTCCGAAATAATTTTATTTAATATTTATTTATATTTTACAAAAGAAATAACTTGTTTTTTTTTACAGACATTTGAAAAAAATATTGATAACTTCAGTATTGTCGTTTACAGAAAGATCAGTGTGTTTTATTAACTTACTTTTAAACTTATTATACGGTATATTTCAACTTGTAGTAACATTTTCACTAATTTGTCAATCTTAATTTTAGAATTTTGAAAAACATTCTGCTGTGTGTTTTAGTTTATGTATCCAATAAACTGAAATCTCCACATATGCAAGTTCTTATTTTTGTTTTCATAAGTTATAGAAGAATGTTAGTGATGATTAATCAAGAGAATTGGAGTTAATGAAAAGTTTTGTATTTTATTGTTTGTTTGTTTTGTTGTTAACCACAAAGCTACACAATGGGCTATTTATGCTCTGCCAACAGTGCATATCTAAACCTGATTTATATTGTTTTAAGCCCTCAGACTTACCGCTGAACCACAAACGTTCCAAAAACACTCCATTTTAAGTAGATATCAGTCTCGTAAGCCACTTTTAGGCAGATTAAAGGCATACATTTTGTTTGTTTGTTTTTGTTTTGTTTTTTTGTGGGAGAGAGGGGTGTCAGGGAGTTTCCTTTCAGAACCATAGTCTTCAATTTGTGTATGGGGGTGTTGCTTCAGGTTTTCGTATCTATGGAGAACGTTGAAGCCTCTCTTCTTTGGCATGTTGCATCCTTTGGCTCTACATGCTTTAGCATTCTCATTATACGAATGTTCTTTCTCGGAGTGAGCTGTGATATAGATACTCCACTTTACCAGTAACGGCACTGCACTCCAATGGTAGCGAATTCGCAGTGAACTAAGTATTAGGTGTTACACATGTCGCCCGTGGTGTCACAACTTGCACCCGCTGTGAATACCAATGCAGTAACACATGTAAACAAGAACACCGGAACCAGTGGTGCCTTTACCCTCAACAATAATTTGGCTGTTAAAGTCTTTCCTAAAGCTCGTTTTCAATATTTTTGTTCTTGAACGATGCTATTCCTTATTAGCTTTATCTTAAGGTCAAGTATTGCCTATAGTTTAAACTAGTTTTTATGTTGTGTGCGCTCATTTTAGGACAACTATTACATACATGGCTATGATTTTAACAAATCTACAAACTGTATTATATTTATAAATAATTACATAACGAAAATCGATTCTTTATCTTGATGCATTTTCATTTGTTGACAATAATTTATTGCTAGACACTTGTAATTTTGTATCATGCCATAATTTAACTTTTAACATGTTTAGTGCTATTTGTATCCATTTGGCAATAGACAGAAAGCATGCGCAGTGAAACATTTATTTTAAAAATGTAATACTTGTGTAAATTAATTTTTTCGTTTCCGTCAATAATAATCAGTAATTGTGTAAAACTTAAACAAATATATATATATATCGATGAATTTGTGTTATATAAGCCAAATTATATTACTGTAAGAACAATATATATCGATGAATTTGTGTTATATAAGCCAAATTATATTACTGTAAAACAATATATATCGCTGAATAACAGTTACATTCCAATATAAATGAGTAGAAAAGTAGTAACAGACTTGACATTATTTGGTATACTTTAACGACGTTTTATTATGGGTTTAAATATTCGCTGTGGACACAGCACAGATAGCTGATTGTGTAGCTTTGTGCTTAATAACAAAAAGACAAAGAAACGTTAATATAGTTTCTTGCCCCCCAAAAAGCAGATTTGCCTGGCATGGCGTGGTGGTTAAGGCATTCAGTTCACAACCTGCGGGTTGCGAGTTCGAATCCCTTCGAACATGCTCACCTTTTCAGTCAAGAAGCCGTTATAATGTGACGGTCAGTCTCACTATTGGTTGGTAAAGATTTGACGGTGGGTGGTGTTCATTAGTTGCCTTCCTTTTAGTCTATAATTTCAAAGCTAGAGACGGTTAGCGCAGATGACCCTAGAATAGCTTTGTGTGAAATTCAATAAATAAACCGCCATATTGTATTAAAAGACGCTTACGCGTGAGTAAATCACACCTTCGCGATATGAAATGCACACAGCTTTAGCAAATATAATATCAATAAAGTGTGTTCGTGTCTGAGGAAAGGGCATAAGACTTTTAAATGTGGTCAGTGAAAGCTCTGGAATAGTTTTGGAATTTCACTAATAAATATAAGTATAAACCCTGGATTCGTATGTTTCTTGAAGAAGTGAGTGTAATATCGAAATTGTTGTGTTGTGGGTTGAATATGACATTTTCAGTGGTAAATTTTCTTAAACTGATAAACTCTCAAGTTGTCGTTTTATTGATTGCTTATCTTCAAATGCTTCTTAAAAACACTTTCATGTTCGTTACACTATTATTCTATGCGTGACTAAACGTTGATTGGTTCATATTTCTGAAACATCACATGCCTACGAGGATTATGATAAAACATTTATTATCAAACATATTTAGCAAAGTATAAATCACCGCTAGTTTGTTAATACTGTCCAAACTAATCTACTGGAATCTGTAAATGATTAAAGAATAGCTTACAGAATTTGGAATTGTTACAAACAAAGTAAATAAAGTTAAATGTTAAACATCGAAAATCATACTTTGAATAGGCACTTGTCAGGATTTTATTTATGTACATGTGAGCTAATGATTCTTCTGCATTAAGTATCTATGACTTGTTGGCGATACATTCGACAATAAACGGACAGCACAAACTATGTACAAAAAAATTATTTACACTATGAATATCACAGTTGTATCTCAGAATCTAAATAATTCTCATTTCTTGTTAAAAGTCCGCTTAGGCTGATTCAATTACTTTAGAATCCAACTGACAAGACGAACTATTTATCTCTACACTTATCACAATAGTATCAGAGAATAATTCATTTACTCTACACCGTGGGTTACCACAGTTCTATTCTGAACTTTAAATAATTGTCTCCTTTTCGTCAAAGTCCACACAGACGGGTTCAGTTACTTCATAATGCTCTTTGACAAGACACATTATTATTCTTATATTTATTAAACAGTGTAACTCACTTTAAAATATCGCCCGTTACGAATAATCACTCACACGCCTGCTAACTTCACGTTTTCTTTTGCTATCTAATTTTCTGACTGAACTGCACTTTATTTTACTTCAACTGACTTGCGCTCGCTTGGTCGCCTATATTTATACTATGTTCAATGAAGCCTCGAACTTTCTCTAAACTATGCGACGCTAAAATGGAACAATACTCAGTTAAGATAACGAGAAAAATACCGAAGATTCGAGTAACGTGACGTCAACAATATTAGTAAAGCCTAGACAACAATGTACTTGCAAACACAAAGTACGGCTTCTTTAGAGTCACGTAACGAAATTTGTCACAACTAACATTTTTAAAACAATCAACCTTCCTCACTTTTGTCATTAAAACTAAACAATAATCAAATATTAAATCACAAAATAAACTAAATAATAACACTTACACTAAACAGTTTCGTATATCCAACAGCACTGAAAACTTTAAAGAAAATATGAGTATAAAATTATCATTTTATGTGTAATAGTTTGTTTGTTTAAGCATTGTAAATTCAGAAACTTAATGCTTACCTACCAAGGGACTGCATAATTGAATTTAGAATAAGTTTTTGATGAGGAAATTATTGACTTTACTTAAATAATCCTTTTATTTTCATTCAGAGTTACACTCGAAAATGACATTCTAATGTCTAACATTTTAATTTTAGCGGCGTTTTTCTTGTTTCAAACTATTTTATTTGACCAATAGCAATCCCACTAGTAAAGAGATTGAACTAAGTTTAAATTGATATAATTTTTTAAAAGTTAGAAACTCTGTTAATCCTACATAAATATTAGGCATCTCGCTTGATGTAGAAAATCCAATAACATAGAGATTAGGTTTAAAAATGTAAATATTATTCAAAGGAATTGCAAGAAACTCAACAATATATAATGTGTATATATACATACATATGTGATAAATATATGGTCATTAGGCGATTCAGTAAAATTAAAACCCAGAAACAGTTACAATAAGCAGTTAAAAACTTTTCATCAAAAAATTCTTGCTTTTTAGATGCTTTCGTTTTCCAATGCGACATCGTAAAGTTTGAAAAACTAAACGATAAATTTTAACATAAGGTATAATGATTTAGTTTCCTGATAGTAATCGTGTGGAGTACTTAACCTGAATTGTAAAAAGAATCCGTTTGAGATGTAAGCAAATTGAAGAAAAATTGAAAGTTATGCAAACGATGGAAGGTAAATTCAGAACTCATACAAAAATTAATTAAATAAAAACTTTAACAAAATTAAATTCGAAAATTAACTAAACATTTACAGACTACATATGGCACAGTTGAAAAGTACATACACAGTAAACCTTGCACTGCAATATTCAAAACAACAAGAAAACAAAGGCAAAAACCAGATAATACAGAGAAACATAAATGTATATACTTGTAGTTTTTTATAGAATTGTACAGAGATCATCCAAGACGAGATTTTCCATCCAAGAGTTTATCTCAGCAACCAAAACTTCTTTTTCACGTCTTCTGAGTTGCTCTTAGATATTTAGTGATAAACTAACTCTTGGATTTTTAAAGAATAACTTCAGAGTACTCAAATGAAATAGTACGAACGAATTCTAAATCGTATGGAAATAAG